ACATGCAGGCAATACACTCATACACATAAAATATATAAAAAAAAATGTTTAGAAAAAAAAAGAATCAACACTATTCACTTGAGTCATCTCCTTCAATATGAATACTCAAAAAGATGATGAGTAAAGACTTACCAGAGCAGTAGCCAAAGAAAAACATGCCATGTGATTCCTTACTTCCAGGGTATTACCATGTCACCCTAGCTGGTATGGAACTCACTACATAGCCCAGGCTGGCCTTGATTTCACAGAGATCCACTTCTGCCTCCTAAGTGCTAGAATTAAAGGAGTCCACCACCAGGCCCCGCCCTACATACTATTTTCAATTGGACTTTTCAACAACACTGAGGCATAATGTTTCCACTTTAGTTTTTATTTAAGACTTGGAGAAGTGAAGTCATTTTCAAGTGGTAGAGCTGTGATTCTGACTCCATCCAGCAGCCTCTGCTACATGTTCTTTAGACTGCTTAGTGCCATAGAGGGACAGCATTATAGTTCACTTCAAGGAAGGAACAAAAACCTATAACCCAGGTGCTCCAATTAAGATGAGAGAAAAAGCACAACAGAACTGACTGTTCAAACTGAAACAGTTTATAGGGTTGTTCCTGGAATTGGCTTCAGATATCAAAATCCAAGAATGCCCAAATCCCTTGGTATATAATCGTGTATTATTTGCAGAGTTAAGCATGGCTACTGTTTATTACTCACTATATCAAATATGCTGTACATACAATGTAGTATCTGTTACACTATATTGTTTAGGGAATAATGAGGAAAAAACTCTGTATATGCTCAATACAGACTTAATTTTTGTTCTCTAATAGTTTTGCAAGCAATTGATACAGTCCAGATATAGAAGGGGAACTATAGTGTGTGTATTAGTTACTTTTCTGTTGCTGTGATAGAAACATTGATCAAAGCAACTTATAGAAGTATTATTTGAGCTTACGGTTCCAGGGTTCCGGGAGAATTACAGTCTGTCATGTCGGGGAGGCATAGTGGCAGGAGGCAGAGCGGAAGTTAGGTTCTACATCTTCAAGCAGTCACAGGAAGCAAGAAAGCAAGGCTTAAGAACTCTCTAAGCCCACCCCCCTGTGACCTGCTACCTCCAGGACAGCCATACCTTCTAAGACCTCCCAAAAGAGTGTCACCAACGGGGGACAAAAATGTCCAAATACTTGGAGGCTATGGGAGACATTTTCATAGAAGCCACTACTACATTGTGCTCACTGTAATGAAGAAAATGAGGAATGATGATATGGTGCTTCTCATGCCACTGGATGATTTACATACAAATATATGATAACTGGTTTCATGTTAAGTATTCAGTAGAATTTACAGTAAGACATTTTTCTACACGTCTACCTGCCTCTATGGGAAGGAAAAAGTCATTGCAGGATAGCTTCTAGGAAGACTACCTTTATTTCTGTCAAACAATTTGAGAAATATCAGGACTATATATTACCCATCGGTGAGGGAAAAGTCTCACAAGCAGTCAGATTTCCATACCAAGTAACTGAAACAGAAAGAACATGGGTTTCACAATAGTCTGCCTAAGAAAAGCTTTCAGCTGCAATGTGCCTGAGGTTTTTATCCAAACCTATCCCACCTGGTCTGAATTACTTTGGAGATATATTAAGAACTGCCAAACTACTTGTTCTCACTGAGCCTGATAAAAGTCAATCTTTTAATATTTAAAATATAATTAAAGTGCTGGGTGTGGTGGCAGATACGATATTTAAGTATTTAAGATACAAAGATACAAAGGAACACGGTGTTCAGTCCACCAGGTGCTTCTGGAGTTTGGTCCAGTTCTGTTTCTTAAGGTGCGCGGCAGAAATGGCAGGTAGCCATGTTAATGTTACTGTTACTCTAACATACATACACACACACACACACACACACACACACACAAACAGACCTCACATGCAATATGCTTATTTCACACTTGAAATAGGAAATGAGCTTGTATGGTGGCACATGCCTTTAATCCCAGCACTGGGGAGGCAGAGGCAGGAGGATCTCTGTGAGATTGAGGTAAACCTGGTCTGCACAGTGAGTTTCAGGCCAGGTAGGGCTACAGGGAAACCCTGTCTTAAAAAAAAAAAGTAATTAAGGTGAAAACATGTAAACTGAAGTGTAAGAGAAAATATAGAAAAATGTTCAGTCTTACATGAACAAATAAATCATTTTTTCTTGTTTCTGGTATGGGCCACTTAACCAGGAAGGCAGACTAGGATGCCGAACATCTGACCTGCCACAAGTCAGAAAGAACATGGTACTTACTATGTGTGTGCAAAGGTCTGTCATCACCTTTCCAATTAGAAGCCCTACAATGGTGGTTTTCAAAGCGGCAAAATAGGAAAATGTAAAAGCCCTTGCAGACCTACAAGCCCTTACAAGCCCCTGGGGACATGTTTGAAAAACAAATTTTATATTAAATAAAATGCAGAATGGAAGATCCTGAATGTCTTTTATAAAAATTACAGATTACCACTGCCAGACGTGGTGGAGCACGTGTTTAAAGGCAGAGGCAGGCGGATCGTTGTGCGTTCAAGGCCAGCCTGGTCTACATAGTGAGTTCAGGTCAGCTGGGACTACAGGGAGACCCTGTTTCAAAAAAAAAAAAAAAAAAAAAAAAAGTTACAGATTACCATAATAATTTACTGAACATCAGCTGTATGTGGAATACTGCACTGGATTCTTGGCACATGAAGAAGTGGAAGAGGCAGACCCTACCCATACACAGAGTTTACATTGGTATTCATTGCTGTTCCAAAGTGGCTTAGCAAGGCAGGCGCTAGCTAGCACATGTTCGGTCCATATCAGGTAACTTTACATTACCAGAATGCAGAAGCTCTACAGGCAATATTTAAGGGAAGAACAAAATGGGGAAAACACAATGTAGAACTTTGTATTTAGCAAAGCATTTTCACACATTATTTTATCTAGTCCTCTCAACAACCCTATGAGGTATATAGATCAAGCCTAATATATAGTGAACTGGTTAAACGTCAGCTTGGCACTTGGCTTCAGATTGTCCTATAAGAGTATTCTTTTCCCTCCAGTACATTTTTATCTGTTAAATGCATACACTTTAAGAATCCAAGAATTCTCACATCTTAGGCTCTGCAATTGGGGTAGAACTTATTAAAGTATTGTCTAATACTAAGACCAGAACTAATGCAAAGTCTTTGAAGAAAATAGACTGCTTTGTAACTTTAGAAAGGAATTGAAGTGTGTTACCTTAGGTTTGAAAGTGAAACAGTAAAGCAGCATTCTAATCGCTTGTAGCAGATGAGATACCAGGTTCTTAGGCATGAGGCAAGGCCTTTCTTTAAGATAGCAAAAGGCATCTGAGTTAACTAGGTACAATATTTCACTTCCTTTACTTTGAACTAGTTTTAATGCTACATATCAATAAATGCTCCATTCACTCATTCATTCTTACTTTTAAAAGCCATCTTCTAGAACAGGAAATCAAAGCCAGACCTCAAGTATCAGGTTGTGACTGAGATGATTTGAGTTTTTCATTCTGTATTCACAACTCACACCATCACACAAAGTGGCCTGACAGTGGCTCCTTTAACCCCAGCCTAGCATTTCCTGTTATGTGCATATTCACACTACTACAATGACTCCACAATTCTTATCAACCACTCTTTTCCAATCCACAGTTTAATTATAACTTGCTAAGTAATCCTAAAACAAATTTACATTTTCTCAGTAGTGAATAATCATTTTTAAAGCATAATACTGTAGTAACACCACATGGAGGGGCACTCACTTGTCAACAGGCAGTCAGGAGGAGCACCATGATAGTCAGTCCCGAGTGGTATTTGCTTACAGTGAACAAGCAAATGTAAGCAAAACCTAGTGCAAAGGAAGACTCGGAAGATTGAACCTTGAATTGCTAAATAAGAAGGGAAACCTAAATAGGAGTTACTATTCATAAGCAAATGTACTATGGAGGGAATGCAAACATGTAAAATGCACAGAGAAAGGAAAGGACACAAAAAGACAGGGGAGGGCAGTCAAAACCCAATCAGTGTTTGGCTAGGTCAACCTGGTGAGGGGACCGGGTTTTACCCTTAATGTAAAGAAGACAGCTTTTGGCTTTTCATGTTTTAAAGGATGGACTGGAGAGGCAGAGGCTGGGGTGGCTGATAGAGATGAGGACCAGACACACATCTGGCAGGCTTGTAGGAGGGCCACATTGGTGACTAAGGCGGAAGGAGTGGGGTTGGCGAAAGGTGGTTCGGAAGGACGGTTCCTGGGTGACTCAACTTGAGACCCCGGTAAGGACCCTGCAGCTCAAGTCAGGCTGGAGAGCACACCCGCTAGGAAAAGAGGGACAAGTGTGAGGAAGGGCACTGCAAATGCGCGTGCCCCGAGGGATGTCAAAGCAGCTCCGAAGACTGGGACAAAGACCTGGAGCCTTCACAGAGCCCTCGGGGCGAGACGAGGAGCTGGACTGCAGTGCTTACAAGCGCTCTGCAAAAACTAAACCGACACCGCCAACCGGTGAAAAAAAGCAGAGAGCAGACACTCGGGTAGCGAAGGAGGCTCGGTGATGCGGTCAGCCCCGTGGTCAGCACCCGGCTGGCCCCGAGGCCTGGGGCAGAGCGGTCGTCCCGGGTCCACGCCGGGCCTGCGGTGCCAGCGCTTTCCCGGCTCCCGAATGCCGCGGCCTCCCAGGCCCAGGGTGCCCGGGCGGCACCCCCTCCCCGCTCGGCTCTCGCCCCGGATGCTCGGTGCCCGCGGCTATCCCCCGATGCCCAGCCCGACCTCTCAGTCCCCAACCCGGTCCTCCCGCCTCCCGGGTCTGGGCTCCCAGTAGGCTGGAGCTCCTTCACTTTTCGGAGTTCGTCCGGAGGCACAACAAAGGACCGTGCACTCGACAGCCGCTTCCTCGGTTTCTCGCCGCAGCAGCGGACCCGGCGGGCAGCGGGCGCGCGGTGACTACGCAGGCCCAGGAAGGGTCTAGGACGCCCGGCACTTACCGCACGGCTCTCAGCTCCGCGCCGTAGGGCTCACAGCCTCGATTCCAGTCTACACTGCCAGCCCCCAGCCCCCAGTCCTGGAAAGAAGAGCCAGCCCGCCGCGGCCCCGCCCCCGCTCCGCCTGGACCGCACCCCCCACAGTCCCTCCCCCCCCCCCCCCCCCGCCGCCCCCCCCCCCGCTCCGCCTGCACCCCCCCCCCCACGTCCCCTCCCCCTCTCCCCCCTCCCCCCTCTCCGCCCGGCCCCGCCCCCGCCTCCTCTTGGCCCCCTCCCTCGGGCGCGGGCTCAAGCCTCCTCAGCCTGGGCACTGGTCCTCCGAAGCCCAGCTTCTGGCCGGGAAGCCCCGCCCTCCCTCTGGCCCCGCCTTCAGCTGGCCCCGCCCCCGCTCAGGGCTTGAAGCCGGCATCCGGCCATTTGCAGGGTAAGGGTGGCTGTACCTCAGGCCAACGCGGGCTCCCGAGGTAAATTTAGAGAGGCTTTTAGGCCACACCTTCTTCCGGGGGGCGCAGAGGGAAGAGATGAGGGCGCGACTACTATATATTGGAACCGGGAGGAGATAGGATTGAACCGCTCACTCGTTATCTGTACTTCCTCTTAAATGCACTGAGGCCTTTCCTCACTTCTTCCTGGCTCTCCTCCACTTAATCAAAAGTCCTGAACCGGATACTGTACTTTTGGGGGTCACACGCTTATCTCAGAGACTGATGCAACTGTGTCGTGTTTTTGCAGAACTTACCGAAACACATGAGCACAGAATTCACCATCCTAAATTCAGGAGCAGGATCCTCTGACAACAAATCAGAGACTCCATGACAGAGCCAGCTTGCCACCAACATTTGCCTACTTGGTTTTAAACTATTCTTCAATTATCATGTACATAGTTGTACACATGCCTACCGTTTGTTGAATATTGAATCCGTGTTCTTTTCCATAATACCTTTTTAAAAATCCTTTCAACCCTTTAAAGTAGGAACTCCAGTTCGAACTGAGGATCTGAGGCTAAAGAGGGAAGTGGTTTGCTCTTGTTAAAAGCAGAGCCACTGTAGTTAAGCACAGATCCCAGAAAACTGATCTTTATCCATCCCAAAGTGAGGGTGGATCAGTCCTTTATTCCATTGGACAAAAACTAAGCAATAAAACCCATTCAACCCTGATGGTAGCTCAAGGGACTAATTCTGAAACTTTTACCCCTTGTGGTACCTAAACCCCTTCCTGTGCTAAGGTTTCTTAAAATGATATTTCAGATACAGCATCAGCAACAATTATCTGCAAAGTTTAGTGTAAATAGGTTTATTATAGCCTACATGTATTTTGCCTGAGCCCTGTTAACTTCTCCTTGGAGAGGTGTACCAGATGAACAGACAGTGATATGGGCTTCACAAGGGAAGAATTCAGGAAAAGCAATGTGAAGTCTTTCAGCTGGAATAAGAGCTTTGGAAGTGGTCCAGGGTCAGAGTGCACATGGCCATTCGCTGGGTGAGAAGAAAGTACTAGAAGTCTAGTAGATTATCCATTTAGGGCCAGGCTCTGGAGGGAAGTTTAAACTTCATGAGAAGTTTAACTTACATGTTAATTGAAAACTGTGATTCTCTTCCTATTGAAAAGCTGTAAAAATGGTGTGAGGGTGATTAGTGTGCTAGAGTTATGCCATGTAGATGGCAGATTCCAAGGAGAGGAAAGGAAGGAGGAACTGGAACAATATATTTCTACAGGCTTTCTCATCGTTCTAGTAGGTTTTACTGAAATTTCAATTGGAGTTACTTTTGTTCATAGATGGGCAAAGAAACAAGTGAGGAGAGAAGAAATTCAGATAGTTGTGTTTAGTTTCTTAAGTTGTACAGTCTAGAAAATAAACGTGTATAGTAATATTTCTGTGAATGAATTTATCAAATACTTTAAGATGAATATTTTAAAATGGATACTTGAAGTAGTGGGAAAAAGTATATAAAGGTGCCTTAAGAGGCCACGAAAGAGACAATACTGAGAAAATGTTAAGGGGCTGGGCTCAGCTGGTAAAGTGCTTGTTGTACAAGTGTGAGGACCTGAGTTCAGATCCCTGGTACCCACATGAAAAGCCTGGTGCTGAGGCAGCTCTTACCTGTAATCCCAACACTGTGTAGGTGGGGAGACAGAATCCCTGGGGCTTGCTAGCCATCTTATCTAACCCGGGTTGGTGAACTCTAGGATCAGTAAGAATCATTGCCTCAAAAAATAAGATGGAGAATGATTGAGGAAGATACCCATCATCAACACCCATGTGTACCTGCACGTGTACATACATACACAAAATACTGTTAAATAAAAGAACATTAATAAATGCTCCAGGACTGGGCATGGTGGCACCCAGTGCTCCTGAGACAGAGGCAAGTAGATCTCTATGAGATGGAGGCCAGCCTAGTTTATGTAGTGAGTTCCAGGCCAGCCGGGTCTATAGAGAGACCCTGTCTCAAAAACAAATAGATACTCCAACTAGAATATTACCAGTAAGCAAAATACTGATGAATCTAATCTCAAGATAGAGGGAAAAGTTGGAGTTGGGGAATAAGGGTTGATTGGTGATTAGACAGTAAACTAGACTATTTGTATTGACACATGCCTATAATACCAGCACTTGGAAGGCTGAGGCAGGTAGATCTTAAATTTGAGGCAGTCTGGGCTATGTAGTGATTTGGGGCTATCCTGAGTAACCATAGGGACAGCCTACCTAAAAAAAAGAAAGGAAAAGAAGAAAGAAACCAAGAGAATGTGGCTAAGCTAAGCTTCAGGTATTCTTGCACACCTGTATTCGTCATACTTCTCATGGCTGTCACAGAATGCCTAGCAAAATAACTGAATGGAAGAAGTGTTTATTTTGGCTTTAAATGTGTCAGTCCATCTTGGCTAGAAGGGCATGGTAGAGCAGAACAGTTCACATCATAGCAGCCAGAAAGCAGAGAAAGAGAATACACAAAGGGGACAACCCTCCAAGGAGTTGTGCCCAATAACTTACTTCCTTCAACTAGTTCCCACTTCTATTTTTCATCATGTCCTAATAATACATCATATTATGAATCTATCAAGATAGACTGATGAATATTAAGTCAGAGCCCACATGATCTAATACCTTTGGCAATGGCCTTTCAGATAGCCCCAGAGATGTGCTTTACAAATGTGGATCTATCTCAGTCCAGTCAGGGTGACAGTGTTGATTTTTACAATGCCAGTGAAGAGTGAATATGCAGTGCTTGTGCTGTGTCATCCCATTTTCCCACACTCCAAATCCAGTTGCTCTGGGAGCCATCAACAGCTCTAGATGGGTAAGTCTAGTTGTAAACCCAGGAACTAAGTCAAGTTCCCACTTCTAGCCCACTTTCCCATTCTTCACTAATCACTATAAAATGACTAATCCTGTCTGGTTTTTTAACTCCTAACACTTTTAATTGTAGGATTGTTATCAAACATGGTTAAATACCATTCTAGCACAACATAAACAGCAGAGTTCCTTAAGCCTATGCTTTTAAATTAGTAGAAGTGTTTTCCTTTGGAACTTGTAGTCCATTACCTAAAATAGTGTCTGAGTGACAAGGAGATTTGGCGTAGAATTATATAAAAGAGCAACAGTACTCTTTCCCCACCAGGAATTTAAAGTATTTCTAATATAGTGCCATATTCTCCCAAAGGGTAGGGATGGGGAATTTGATACTCCCAAACCAGAATGCCAGGTGCTTTCTTGTTCTCTATTTCCTTTGCTTTTGTCATTCAGCCCTCCTGCTCAAATACTGCAAGCCCTAGTTATTTTCTGATACTCCAGCTGTCACACATGTCAAGCTGTGTAAAGAATTCAGGGACATAAGAGATGCTAAACTTTCCTTTTCTGCTATTGGTGATCATAGTTTGCTTAGCCAGTGAGTCAACTGGCTTTCCAGTGTGACTCCATGACTTCCATGTATGTCAGACCCCTACAGCCATACCACATTGTTTTACAGTGTGTGTGTGTGTGTGCGTGCGTGTGTGTGTGTGTGTGTGTGTGTGTGTGTGTGTGTGTGTATAATTTCAGCTTTCTATGGTCATTCCCAGGCAGTGACAGGTTTGATTCTGTGATTTAGATATGATTGCATTCTGCTTATTTTCTTCACAAAGTAATCAGGCAATACTGAAATAAATGGCTTAGAATAAAGTCAGTCTATCAATTAGGTTTATTGAACATAGTGGATTTTTATCCACATGTGAAGTAGATTAAAGTAAACTGAATATTCAGAGTCTATCTTCTCAATCTTTTAAGGTGATTTTGTTTTTCTTTTCAGGAAATATGTCATTTGCTAATGAGTTTGTGTTGTTGCAAAATTTCCTGCTAAAATTTAAGACAAAGACATTGATATAGGTAAATAGTAATTTACCCTCAAATGCTTTAGTGTATTTTGTTGTTTCATTTAAAAACTAATATACTTGTTTTTCTGTAAATTATAGCATAGATGATTTTAATGAAGAATTCCAGTTTATGTTTTTGTGTAAAACCAACCCTAAATTTACTTGTTTAAAAAAGCTAAGAAATAATTTTTTATGGTTCTCTGGGTAAGTTGGACTGTTCTATAGGTCTTTCCTGAATTCATTTGATCTTTCTGATATGTGGTCTGAAGTGGCCCAACTTACACTGTTGCCTGGGACACCTTGGTTCTTTTCCATATGACCTTTTATCCTCTGCTGTGCAATTATATGAAAGAATGACGGTCCTCCTTGCATGCTAGAGGTATGGCATGGCAGTCTCAGGACAGGACTCCAGGACAGCTGTGTCTGATGCAGAAGTACCTGGTTTGACATTTTGTCAGTGTGACCTTGTCACATGGCCAAGGCCTGACTGTGCAAGTAAGCTTAGATGGCATAGCCTTGGTGGGATAAATGGCAAAATATAAAGGTTGTGATGACATTTAAATGAAGTTATGCTTAGATCAGAGTTACTACCCCTCTAAAAGTTGTGTTGGAAGAGAAGAACTAGACATGAGAAAGAGAAGAAAAGCTAAGAGCTTCCATGATGCCTAGAAGTGAACTGTGCACTAAGAAATGATTACAGAGGAGTAGGGTTCAGGGTAATAAGCATTACCTTGGTAGGTAGGCAGGTAGGTAGATTCTGATGCAATAAGGTAAATGACATGAAAGTCATAATGATGCTGAAAGCATTTACATGAGGCTTTCTAATCTACAAAACATTTTCATATGTCTTATCCCATTTTACAGCTGATTGAACCAGGGTTCTTGGAGCGTCATTCATCTCTCTGTGGTCATAATATTAACTATTAGAAAACCTTTCTGATGACTAGCTTTTGTTCCCATGCTATAGTAAAACTTTGTGCAAATCATGAAATGTAAAGCAAATAAAGACAGAAATGCCAGGAAATGAGCTTTGAAATTTATCAGGCAAAATGTATTCTAAACAAAGAAATTGATGGTATTTTTGTTTATTTAGTAGTAAGGAATAGAATTTGTGAGATTGGATTTATTCTCTCCATTCTTCTGAACCATGATGGGAAAATGGGAAGCAAAACTCAAGCACATTGAAGAGCGAGCGTCTCTGTATGAGAGGAAGCCGTTGCCCTCGTTATACAGACCAAGATTGTCCAAGCCAGAAGAGCCCCCCTCCATCTGGAAGCTCTTTCCTCGACAAAATCAAGCCTTTAATTTTGTTAAAAGCTGTAAGGAGGTAATGCCTTCATTTGAAAAAAAAAGAAAAGAAAAGATGAACTATAACACTCAAGATTTTTTAAAAAATCTATTTGTCAGCTGGGCGTGGTGGCACACACCTTAATTCCAGTACTCGGGAGGCAGAAGCAGGCGGATCTCTGTGAGTTCGGGGCCAGCCTGGTCCACATAGAGAGTTCTAGGACATCTGGGGCTACAGGGAGACCCTGTCTCAAGACCAAAAAAAAAAAAAAATCTATTTGTCTTCATTTCGGACCAGATACTCCACCAAGAGAACTTAATAGTAATCTTGATATCATACGATTTAGGAAAAATAGCCCATTGAATTCATTCATAATTGAGTTTGTTTTAGTAGTGAAAAAGAATAACATTCTAGTCCCAAATAGTTAAAAGCTGTGGAACATGTAACGGCATTGAAGTGAAGTACTTTTAGAGTAAGGGTGAGCTTATTTATTCCCAACACCTTAGGCAAGTGGGAGGAAGTGCTTAATGCAGGTTAGCCTTGCAAAGGGCATGGTGCTCAAACACAAAATTTAAAAACTGAAGCAATAGATATAGATTACATATTGTTTATTGAACTCTTGGGGAATATGAAGACATATAAATGAAAAAATAAGAATGCTTATGTAAATTATTAACTTAAATACATTAAGATTCTTGGACATTGATTCTGTGTAAAAGCTCAAAGTACTTAAGATTTGGGAGAAAGAACCTTTATTCCCTAGTAAAGAGATGCTTATTTGGATGTCAACAGATCAGGAAATACAAGAAAAATTTTACATAAACCTAATTCAGGTATCAGAAATTAAAATACTGACAGAGGCATTTGAACTTGGGCTTTTAAAAAAGAAATCAAAATATGCTTGCCAATCACCAGTCTGTAAAGTTTATTTCAGAAGGTTTTTTTTTTTCCCCTGTCCTGGGAATTGAACCGAGGGTATCATATATACTGGACAAGCACTCTACCACTGAGCCACATCCTCTGCTCAAAAAGAGTTTTAATAGAGTCAAACAGCAGAATACTTGTGTGATTTCTCACCCATGAAAATAAAAATAGATTCACTAGCAACTTTGACCTAGATGGACATGAAAGATGTGCATACGTGTGCCTGTCTTAGAAGATGCTCCTTATGGCGGTAGCCATGAGCAGTTATTTTTAAAAAATCCATTCCCAGAGGCTAGAGAGATGGCTCAGTGGTTAAGAGCACTGGCTGCTCTTGCAGAAGACCCTAGTTTGATTCCCAGCACCCACATGGACGCTAATAACCATCTGTAACTCCAGTTCCAAGGACTCTGACGCCATCTTCTGACTTCCAAGGGCATTGCACTACATGGGTGCACTTACATACATACAGGGAATACACTCATACACATAAAATAAAAAAGTAGTTTTTAAAAATTATTCTCATGTACATTTCTATAAGAACAAGAATTTATAAATTTATTTTAGTTCAAATCATTTATTGTAGTATGGGGGTACTTTTGTAAAATTAGTTTAATTTCATAAACTAAGAGACAAGACTGTCTTAGGAGGTTGAACTAGAATTAAGGATGAGTATTCCAGCCAGGTATGATGGTACATGCCTTTAATCCCAGCACTTGGGAGGCAGAGGCAGGTGGATCTCTGTGAGTTCAAGGCCAGCCTGGTCTATATAGCGAATTCCAGACCAGCTGGGGCTACAGGGAGACCCTGTCTCAAAAAAAAAAAGACAACAAAAAAAAAGAATGAGTTTTCCATTTTTATTCTCTTTTAAATCTGGATAATGTTTCTATCATATACAACTATTATGCCAGTGATTATGAATGAATATAGAAATGAATAAAAACTATGAAAATGGCATGGATGTAGTGACTGGTTTGTTTAGATAATTCTTTTTTTTTTTTTTTTTTTTTTTTTGGTGTTTTTGAGACATGGTCTCCCTGTAGCCCCCAGCTGGCCTGGAACTTGCTATGTAGACCAGGCTGGACTTGAACTCACAGAGATCCGCCTGCCTCTGCCTCCCAAGTGTTGGGACTAAAGGCGTGCACCACCATGCCCGGCCTTTGATAATTCTTTATATTCTAGTTCCTGCAAACTTGAGTGGCAAAATTATGAACATATTTAGTTACAGGTGAATTTAGATTTGCATGTTGTAAATTTTTGAATATTATTTGAAATTTTTTATAGGATGTTCACGTATTTGCTCTGGAATGCAAAGTGGGAGATGGACAACGTGTTTACCTTGTAACAACCTATGCTCAACTTTGGTTTTACTATAAATCCCGGTAAGTAACAGAGTAGCACAGTAAGCTAAAGCTGTTTCTTTTTTGTTGGAACTTATTCACACTTACTTGATAGTCACAGTTCTTGGCTACATGATTAGCTGCTCTTTAATATTAGAATTGAGGTTTGAAGTTCTTTTATTGTAGGAATACTCAAGTTTTTAAATATTTGTTTTTTATATTTATTTACTTTACGTGCGTGTGTGCGTGTGTGTGTGCATGTGTGTGTACATTCCACATGCCACAGCATCATATAGAAGACAGAGGACAGCTTTTGGGAGTTGGTTTCTCTCCTTCCTAGGGATTAAACTCAGATTTGTAAGGCTTGATTTTGATGCCATTTGTCTTTATCCACTCTATCACCTTGCTGGCTTGCAATACTTAATTTTTTAAAAATCATACTAAGTATTGTGAGAGAGAAAAAAAAATCACACACATATTTAGGTATTTAAATGGAATTTTGTGGAGTTTGTGTTTTGTAAGAAAATATTAAATTTTATGTTAATGACAAATGAACATTTAACTTATTGATTGTCTAATAAAGAAATACCTGCTTTTAGGTCATTTCAAAGGGAAGCTGTGAAACCAAGAACTTTTTTTGTTTGTTTGTTTTTCTGAGACAGGGTCTCCCTGTAGTCCCAGCTGACCTGAACTCACTATGTAGACCAGGCTGGCCTTGAACTCACAAAGATCTGCCTGCCTCTTTCTCCCAAGTGCTGGGATTAAAGGCGTGTGCCACCACACCCGGCTGAAACCAAGAACTTTAAACACTGTAACCAATATTAAAGTTCATCACAGAGCACATAGTCCCTCAATAGTGTTATGTATTCTTGAGGAGATACGGAATTGGTGATGTGGGAAAGTAAATAAATGTTTCAAAGTTAAAAAAGGGGAAATGGGGCTGGAGAGATGGCTCAGCAGTTAAGAGCACTGACTGCTCTTGCAGAGGACCCAGGTTCGATTCCCAGCACCCACATGGAGGCTATGAACTGTCCTTAACTCCAGTTCCAGGGGAATACGA